AGCTGCACAGAGAGTCAAAGTTAACTGTGCCGGTGCTATGGCGAGGTGTGACTCAGTGTGACCATATTTTGCAGATTAGCAGTCAGACCCTGAATTTTCTCAGCTTTCATCCGACACCACACCACAATGTCCTAAAAATAAGGAAAAATCAGATTTATATAGAGGAAGTATGAATATACAATACTTTAAATTAGTGGAAGATAATATGAAGTGGTTGATGAGTTACAAAAGATTTGCTGAAAAAGTTGCAGAACACCCGGAATGATAGTATTGACTTTGGCCAAGCAAACAACCCTTTTGGTACTGTGACAAATATATACAAACACGTGTTGGTTTCACAACTGAAAATCTTTATGCAAACAACTGTAAAAGTGTTAGTGTCTGGAACCAACCGATCAGATGCCTCTTGGCGCAGCTGCTCCCCATGTAGCCTTGAAAGGTATATTATGATGGATGACTTCCCGTGGGATTTGGAAATCCAGATCTCGTTCTAAACCTTAAAGTTCGGAGGTTCAGCAAGGTAGAATTTACATCTAGAAACTCGTTTCTAAACCGTGGACACTGTCAAATAAACTTCATGATCTAATTCTACTTCCTAAACTCTAAACATGACATACAACATCGCTGGTGAAACTCTCACTCTGACTGATGACAATGATAAAGACAATGAATTACAGAGAAGGCTCATTGGAATTCTCGGTGTCCTTATATTTGTCAGAGCTGAACAATCACGCTATGAATGCTCTGAATGCTGACAAACAAGAAGAAGACATCTTATTCATAGTGACCTACTTCCCAATCCACATCTGAATACTCCTTCACAAGTGCTCTACTCAGGACAGAACAACCGTGCATTTATCACTACCATGGGCATTGACATCCCTACATTTCACTACATTCTCTCACATGGCTTCACAACTCTTTGGGATCTCACTCCCATCCCCCGCAATGATATTCCTGCCACTGCTCACTCTTGTGCTTATCAACGTTCCCTGGACGCTGCTGGTGCATTAGGCCTTGTTCTTCATTGGCTCAACTCAACCATGCAAGAGGTCAGCCTCATGCAAATTTTTGTGCTTATCCCAACAACTGTCTCACGCTATCTACATTTTTCCCTCACCATACTACTTTGCACACTCAAGAACATCCCCGAAGCCTACATCCAGTGGCCTTCTGGGGATCAATTTCAAGTTTTAAACGACCTTGTCATTGCGTGTCATCCCTTGTTGACGGGGGGCTTCGGCACACTAGATGGACTCAACTTACCTGTCCAGACATCCCAGGACCAAGAGATCGAGAACACAACCTATAATGGGTGGTTGCACAGTCACTTTGTCAGTTCAGTCATTGCATTTAGTGCTGATGGTGCGCTCTTGTCCAAATCATCCGCTCAGTCTTTCATTCTGATTGCTACTACTCACAGGCTCAATAATTCAATGCCGCCTCAATGCGCCAGGCAGCTGGCATGACTCCTGCATGCCCCAACTCATCTACGACAAACTCAGCGCAAACACACCAGATAGATACTACCTTGTCGCCAATACAGCTTTCCCGCAAGGTACAGATCAGATTGCCAGTCACATCAAAGCCCCACTCAAGTCAGGACAACGCCTCCCTAATGATCCTGCCAAAAGACAGAAGCTGCTTTTATTTGACTGGCAGCTGCTTTCTTTCTGTCAGATGGCAGAGTGGGGCATGTGTGCTCTTCAGGGCTCCTTTGGATGTCTTCGCATTCCCCTCGACATTAACTTCAGTGACCAGCATCATGATCTGCTTGAAGTGTGTGTTCGGCTCAACAATGTGTGTGTTTGGATGGTAGGCATTAGTGAAATACGAAGTGTATACATGCCAATTTGGCAAGAAGACGAGCAGGATAGGATGGTTTGGGCACAATTCAAAAACATGTTATTTTCATATCAGCATAGTAATGATCGTGTAGCTCGATTCCATTTGTCAAGTACATAGTAGAATGTTTTCATTTATGTGCATGGTTCAATGATTAACTATCTTTTTACCTGTCCAGAGTAATTCATGAATGGGCTATCATCCTGCACCATCAATCAGTTTTTAGTAGCCACTCGTCATATTCATATCCTTAATCATACAACATAGGCACCACCTAAACCTCAGTCTACTCAACCCACGACGAGACATTCTGACCCATTCTATGGTCATGAGCAGGTTTCCCGGTTATGTGGTCGATTCATTATGCACCTTTTTGCTTGTCCAGAGTACCCCCCTTCGTCTTCTAACTAGTAAAGCTCCCCCATTTCATTGCATACGCACTTCACTGGACAAAGCTCCATTCTTCTGTAACCTTCGCTGCCCTCGGATCTTTGGGTCACCATCTTTTCATATCCGCCTTCATGCTCGCATCCAAGGTTATCTGTGATGACACTTACATTCCCACTACTTGGAGATCTTCGGGTCACCATCTTTTTATATCTAGAGTATCATAGCCCAGGGCATGTTCCAATTGCGAGAAATCAATCAAATATATACATACTACATACAGTGGCTCAAAAAAGTGTCCCAATGTTTGTAGGTTTTCATGTAATTGTGTTATTGCGAGCCAGGGTGTGAGAATCTGACTACGTCAAAGGGAGGTCCCAAAAAGCTCCGCTTCTCGGCTACAATTATGTCCCCTATAGCGTGAGAATCCATTGACGCCGTGCGAAGATATGGCTATTTTAATTAGGTGACTCATTGGGACACTTTTTTGAGTTTGAATCAATTATACATAATCTCTATAATTCTAGTACTTAGTGTTTCCTCCCTTAGCTTTAATGACTGCTGCTACCCTCCTAGGCATACTTTCTATCAATTTCTGACACTCCTCCTTAGCAATCTTTCCCCACTCTACTACAACTCTCTCCCATAACTGAAATAGTCCATTAGGTGGGTCTTGATAGGCAGCAAGCATTCTCTTGAGTAATTCCCAAAGATGTTCAATGGGATTGAGGTCTGGAGACTGTGCTGGCCATGATAGGACAGTAATATCATGGTCCTCAAACCATTTGGTGGCCAACTTAGCTTGAGGTCATTATCTTGTTGGAAGATAATGTCTTCTTCATCAATACCTGATTCTTGCATGCTTTTGAGCAGACACTCCTCCAGAATGGAGACATACTGCTCTGCATTCATCCTCCCCTCCATCTCACATAGAATTCCCACCCCATGCCACCCCATGCAGCCCCACACCATCATATTTCCTCCTCCAAACTTAAGAGTACCTTTCACTTCTTTTTCTCCAAGTGGATCTCCTGCCTTTTTCCAAACATACTCTTGACCATCTGACCCCATCCTATTGATTTTAGTTTTATCTGACCAAATAACTCTCTTCCAGTCCTCTATAGTCCAGTGCTGGTGCTTTAAAGCAAATGCTAGTCTCCTTTTCCTATGGGCTGGTGACAGTAGGGGTTTCTTCTTCTTGACTACAGCTTTAAGATTGGCTTCCTTGAGGGTGTTCCTGACTGTTTGAGTGGAGACAGTGGTAGTGATGATGGAATTGATGTATTTTGTGGCTTGAACAGCAGTAGAGGCCTTTCCAGATATAATATGATGAACAAGAGCTTTTTTGTCATGCAGAGTAAGTTTAGAAGGACGACCCATTTTGACATTTTCTTTGTTGGGAATATTCTGGTTGATAACCCTGGCAATAGTTGACTTCCCCAGACCAGTTTTGGAGGCAATCTGCCTGATAGATAGACCAGAGATGGAGAGAAAAAGGATATTATCTCTTTGAGAAGAGGAAATAGACTTCATGCTGATTATGAGGGACATGATGTTATTGGAAGGGTTTATATATGTACAGGATATTAAAATGAGACCATATTGTCAATATGGGACCATTTATATATATATATTTGTAAATGGTGTCATGTCTAAATGATCTGATTTTCATATTTTAATAGAAACTCAAAAAAGTGTCCCAATGAGTCACCTAATTAAAATAGCCATATCTTCGCACAGCGTCAATGGATTCTCACGCTATAGGGAACATAATTGTAGCCGAGAAGCGGAGCTTTTTGGGGCCTCCCTTTGACTTAGTCAGATTCTCACACCCTGGCTCGCAATAACACAATTACATGAAAACCTACAAACATTGGGACACTTTTTTGAGCCACTGTACTTAAGTACCCCCATCACCTTCTAACTGAGAAAACTTTGCACTGTTGAGAGCACTTGAGATGTGCACTGTTGAAAGTGCTCCAGTTGCACTGTTGAGAGTGCTCCAGCAGCGCTGTTGAAAGCGCTTGAGTTCTGTTGAGACCCTAGTCTTCTGCATGAGCAGGCAAGACAGACTGAGTCATTGAACGACTTAAAGTAGGTGGAATGTGCTGAGTTGCAGTGCTAGCATGAGTTGGTGAGATCACAACTGATAAGTCATTTGTGCCGGTACAGGAAGATGTTGGAGTGAATGACACATTGAATTGTGCACTCGAAGAATGGATAGGTGGAGTGGAGGGTCTGTGAATGGTGTGACGACCAGTCTTCGGATCTTTGATGTAATCCTGTTGAGAGACTACATCACAGAAGTTGTCATGATTAAAGAAATCCTTGTCTTCATCATCAGGTGAGATCCAGATTGTAGATGCTCCCCCATCAGTATATTTCGTTTCACAGCATATGTATCGTGGTCGTGGTGTTTGTGGCATCAGTCAGTGATCTGTACCTTTCTTCACAAGTCGAGCCATTTCCAATTGCATCTCTAGACGGTCCGCACGACGCTCAGCATTAGCACGCTCGCGTTCACACTGCAAGAGCTGATCACGTAGCGAATTAATCATCATGTGCGCATCTTGCAACTGGTTGGACATAGATACAAGTTGAGTGGTCTGCAAAGTGCAAGCAGCGCACTTGTCATCTCGAGCAGCTTGAAGTCAAGGATCAAGCGAAGTAGTGATTGAAGTTAGAAGATCAAGACCTGAGGTGCGTGAGGTGCGAGGTCGAGGAGTGGGTGTGTCAACAAAATGATGGGAAATACTAAGTGCAGGCTCTCATGTCTCAGTCTTGATGGTGACCTTTGGTGTCCTGGCTCGCTGAGGCTCATCTTCATTACACCCGATATTGATAACTTCATCGGCAAATTTATTGTCATCGAGATCCTGGGTGCCAGCCTTCTCGTTCATGCAGTCATCGATTTCGTGAGTGCGTTCAATGTAAGGAGGGCACTCAGCATCACCAGTTGGCTTCATAGTGCAAACCAACTTAAAGTAGAATATCAGTACTGGAGTTCACAGTATATAAGAGTACATACCTGCGTAAACTTAAGTTCAAGAGATTTTGCAGGATGAGTGGGATGGTCATGGCTATCTGCCCATGCAGCAAACTCTTCCTCAACAGCAAGCCAACCCTTTGCGCCAAGCATCAAGCAGGGCAGCAACATCGTCATCATTGTAATTCGGCGTACCCTAAGCACGACCACCACGACCCAATCTTTTCTTGGTTGGTGGCTCAGTTGTGGCGAGTGCCTTCCTCTTCCCTTTAGCTTGGGATGGCACTGCATTGGGACAGCGGCTACCAGCAACTTTGCAGGCAGGCGCAGGTTGTGTGAAGGGTTGGGACAGAACCTGGCGTGCGATCATATTGTCGTCCTCGCCATCTGATTGCTCAGGTTCGTACGGTACTCTTGACAGCACACTGTAGGGCTGACTAGGCAAGAAGGGAGCTGAATACGAGTTTGGTGGGATTATGCCATAACCAGGCGGAAGTGGGGGGGTGTGTGTGTGTGAACATTTGACCAGTGGGCTGCATAATGAGATGTTCTGGGCTTTGTAGGAAGTTAGAGAGAGATCAGTGATATGTATATTGAATGTAGACATACATTTTATATAGCCAGGTGCATAGCGCGTTGCACATGGTGCAGAATGTAGCATACACCTGAAGCGATCACCAATTAGCATAAAAGAGAGATCCAGGAGACTTGGACATACAAAAAACATTGTAACAATGCCTGAGTCCTTTCTTATCCTCGCCAAATCACACGAAAATGTGCCATAATGACCTTGAAAAATTGTAAATGAAGCCCTGGCATGAATGGGAGCACACATTGTGCAGAATGGAGTGTGCACAGACTTACCAGACATTTGTTTGTGCAGAATGAGTCCGAATGACGCTCGTCGCGGACATTGAAATGTCATTTAGAATAACAATCTGAATCTGGAAGGGGGGTCTGGAACAGGGTGCGTTTGACGTGCGGAGTTGGAAGTTGCTTACGTTTCACAGCGGCTCCTCGGCACATAGGGTTTGAATCACCTATCTGGAATTCTAAATCTCACGGGAAGTCATCCAATGTGCCTTTTAACACATGCGATCAAATTTTGTAAGCCGGCAGCATTATTATGGACAAGTGTGTGCTAATCTTCGGCCTCTCAATACTAAACATCAACAGCCTCTCAAACTCAAGCTCAGTGGACCCCGAGCATGATCAAACAACTTCATCACCTGAGCGATATGAAGATTTGTCCCAAAACAACTGTACCGTTTGGCTATATCTACAGTGGCTCAAAAAAGTGTCTCAATGTTTGTAATATTTCATGTAATTGCTTTATTATGAGCCAGGGTGTGGGAGTATGACTAAACTATAGGAAGGTGTCATAAAGCTATACTTCTTAGCCTCATTTGAGTTCCCTATAGTGTGGGAAGCTGATGTCATCATGTGCAGATATGGCTATTTTAATTTGGTGACTCATTGAGACGCTTTTTTGACTTTTAGTTTGACCAACACAATCTCAATAATTATGATACTTTATGTGACCTTCTGTTGCTCTAATCACTTCTGCCACTCTTCTAGACATGCTATCTATCAATTTTGAATATTTCTTCTTAGCACTCCTTTCTCACTCTGCTGCAAATCTGTCCTACAGCTGAAATAGCCCCTATGATGAATTTTGATAGGCTGCAAGCAATTTCTTGAATATTTTTCAGAGATATTCAATAGGGCTGATGTATAGGGACTATGCTAGACATGATAGAACATTGAGATCGTGGTATTTGAGCTGCTAGTGACTAAATTGAAAGCTTACCTCACATGAATGAAGATCTCACATTTACCATATTCTAACTGGGCAGGCTACTAATGCTACTCAGGCCACCTAATTCATCAATTCCATCATCTCCAGCTCTGTTTCCACTCAAACCATCAATAATACTTGCAAGGCAACAAATATTAAAGCTACAATCAAGAAGAAGAGGACTCTCCTATTCCTAGCCTATAAAAAGAGAAAGTAAACTTTAGCTTTAAAGCACCAGTACTGGACTGAAAGAGGACTGGAAGAGGACCATATTATAAGATCAGACCAAGATAAATATGATGAGGTCAGATGGCTGGGAATACATCTGTAAAAAGACAGGTGAACCACTAAAAGAAAAAAAATTGTGTAAACTCTTAAGTGTGGAGTAACAAACATAGAGGTATAGGACTGTATGAGATGTAATAGAGTGTATATTCTCTGTGTGAAGTAAAGTGAAGGACCAATACCAAGTGGTACATCTCTATTTTAGATGAGAGTCTGCTCAGAAGCATACAGAAATCATAGATTAATGAGGAAGGTACTATGTTGCAATAACATAATGATCCTAAATATATGTCTAAATTGGTCACTAGCAGCTCAAATACCACGATCTCAATGTTCTATCATGTCTAGCATAGTCCCTATACATCAGCCCTATTGAATATCTCTGAAAAATATTCAAGAAATTGCTTGCAGCCTATCAAAATTCATCATAGGGGCTATTTCAGCTGTAGGACAGATTTGCAGCAGAGTGAGAAAGGAGTGCTAAGAAGAAATGTTCAAAATTGATAGATAGCATGTCTAGAAGAGTGGCAGAAGTGATTAGAGCAACAGAAGGTCACATAAAGTATCATAATTATTGAGATTGTGTTGGTCAAACTAAAAGTCAAAAAAGCGTCTCAATGAGTCACCAAATTAAAATAGCCATATCTGCACATGATGACATCAGCTTCCCACAATATATGGAACTCAAATGAGGCTAAGAAGTATAACTTTATGACACCTTCCTATAGTTTAGTCATATTCCCACACCCTGGCTCATAATAAAGCAATTACATGAAATGTTACAAACATTGAGACACTTTTTTGAGCCACTGTATGATTCCTGTGAGTATCTTGGTTTTTGGCCAAATCATTCTACCTAATGATTGCACCTTGCCTTGCAGCATACAAATCCATTCAGCACTGTTCTTGAAGCAGGGTGACCAAGCTGCTACATATGTCTACTATGTATGATCGTGACCCTGGACTCCGCCAGGCCACCTACACCCCTCATCCTGCCTCTCACTCTGCTAGGCTACACCTGCTTGTTTTCCAACCTGGCCTGCACAAGCCCTGTTGGAGCGCCATGCTACATTGAGTCATTCAGACCAGTGTTTTCTGGAACTTCAATTACTGCAACCTCGCCAGGGCAGGCAACTCTGTCATTTGCATCGAAGTCGTCATTTGTTTTTGTTAACTCCGATTCGGATGAAGTGGGTCCCCTAACCATTAGTATCGGTTCTTATGACTTACTACTTCTACACGATGCCTTTCAGGGCGCTCAAATCAACAATATCATCGTGATCACCAACTCTGTTGGTCCTTTGATCATAAGACCTCCGGTCAATCATCCGAACGTCACTGTCATAGGTGCCGCATCGGAAAGTTCATACACACCTGCTAACAATTGATATGCAGATTGTTTGGGCTAACTTTGGCGACAACGGAGCTGGTAATGCCAATGCACTGAACAACTCAAGTGCATCAACTGAATCCATACCACCACTGTCGAAATCTACAACAAGACCCAGTAAACCCACACTCTCCGGGACTGGCAACAAACTATCAACCAATCCCGCTACCAGCAAACCATCCTCCTTGCCCTGTCCCAAACATCCTTTATGGCACCTGGAGCCCATCGGGTGCACCATTGCAAAGAACCCTGTAGGTACACGCCCGTGTCGATTCCAAGTCGATTGGTGACTGAAGTTGAGGTGTTCTTGCAGTAAATCGTGCGAGATCATCGAGTCAGTCTTGAAGCCTCAATGGTGGGTCAATTGCCAACTTCTTGTTGCAGAATCAAGGTCAGTCGCGCTATATCTCACTAAACTTTCTTTCAACGATCATTGCAGCATACGAGGGCAGGTAAAGTTTCGATCGGTCCCAGACAGAGTGAAGCAGTTGGTATCGCTGGCTTGAAAACATACAGATCAGTGTATCTCATGGCAGTTATGATGGGGTCACCAACGCCCAGCCTATTTCGTTCAAATTGAGGGAGAAGATATCGACGTTTGTATTTCAATGATCAGTCCAACACTTGCGCACTCACTCTTGAATACAGAAAACCAGTGGAAAGAACTGGGTTATGGATCGGACTTTGGAAAAAGCAACCAAGCAAGCGAAAATCCTCACAAATGGGGAGAACTTTACACTCAAGCAAGATGAAGATGTCCTCGATACTTGGTTCTCCTCTGGGCTGTGGCCCTTCTCAATCCTGGGATGGCCAGAAAAGGCACGGTATTTTGTACCTAGTAAACTGACTGTATTAATCGTCCACCAACAGACTATCAACCTCTCTCAGTATTACCCTGCCAGTATCCTTGAAACAGGTTGGGACATCCTTTCCTTCTGGGTGGTGCGTATGGTTCTCATGGGCATCTATCTTACGTGGACAGATGCCATTTTCTGAAGTACTCTGCCATGCGATGATTCGTAAGCTCATGGACGCAAAATGAGCAAGTTTCAGGGATACCGCAAGTTCTGCACGACCACGAAGTTTGCAATGTTCAAACTTAATAACAGTTTTTCGCCAGAGACATCTGCAAAGGTATGCTGCTTGCGCGATGGGTTCTTAAGCTTACATTACTTCTGAAGCCGACTGGAAATAACGCTGCATCCTATACAAACACAACATAGCTGCAACACACATCAACACGCAGCTCCAATTCCATGGCTGACTATGCCAATTCATAATTTCTAGTTATACAGGCTCTACGACATCTATATTATGGGTTGCTTTAAATCTGAATGTGTATACATACCATATCTTTTGTTCACAGGAGGCGATGAAACTTTTGCCCAAACGCAGGTCAACGGACCAGCTACGACGTAAAGTTACATATTACTACGTACGGCCTGGTGTGATTGCCACCGTGCACATTTAAAAGCTTGACACGACGCTTAAACCTCTAGCCTGTCCATCGTGCAGTGGCAGGAACACATCTCCACAACGATACTTGTTGAGGATGCCAAAGGGTAAGTTGTTTTCTCATCAGTTGAAATCACGCTTATATTAAACTATAGCACCACGCAAGGGAGCAAAGGACTACATCGATGTTAGCTTTGACCCTGCCACTCATGTTATGCAACAGCACGCCCGTGGTCACCAGCACCAATTCCACCGAAACATTACTGTTTATGCGCCTGGTCTTAGCGCAGGATATAAGAAGATAGTTTTCTTCACACCATCATTTCCTCCTCCTCCTCCTCCTCCTCCACCACCACCACCACCGTCCCCGCAACTCCGGACACCCGGGGGATATCAGCTATATACCGAGTCGCCTCCTCACTCACCGGCTTTGATAGTGGCCGACGTTGACGACTTGCAGTGGGATTTGGCGCATCCCGAGATGTGGAATGATTGTATAGAGCTTTTGGAATTCGATGGAGTTGTGGAATGATGATAGAGATTAGGCTGACCATGTTGTTGTGTAGTCAGTAGAATACTTTGACAGTTCAAGCTACCAAAAGCTCCCGAAGTATTGGACTAAATTAGGCAACATTGCCCTATACATCTAACTTAATCATTGCATGTGGCCGCCGGGAATGTGTAGTAAGCATAGCTTTTCACAATCCAATTTTTTAGCACTCGACGCCGATGGCTATTGTCTCAGGTTGCTTCCCCTATTCCAACATCCACTGCTGTGGCGCTAGCCAGACCTCCCTACGAGAACGCCGAGCTAGTAACCAGACTGCGCCGTATCAACGGTGTTCCCAACAACAAATTCCATCACAAGCGTGAGCGCGTTCACGCAGCCGTGAGCACTCATGACCTCTTATGACTCTTAGTAAACGAGGAGTATGAGGTGAAGCAGACTCGCAAAGTGCTCTATACTGCATTGGACAGGTTGGACGCCGAAAGTCATTGTGCTGAAGAAGCAGAAACCCAACTAGCAGAGGCTTTGGAATGGACACGGTCTATCAACAAAGCCCATGTTGCTGCCCAGCAAGAGGCAGCTCAGTTGCAAGAGGAACTGAGGCTTTACAAGCTGCAACTCGACAATGCGCAGAGAGAAATTCTTAGAGCCCAAGATATACTGGGAGTCATTGAAGCACAGAGGGATGATGCGGAGGCTGCCGCCGCTGACGCGCGCTCAAAGGCTCGAAAATTGAATGAAGAGTGCTTAATTGAGCTCGCAAGGGAGGAGGGTCGCAGGCTTGGGTATGAAGAGGACATACAACGCGGTCGTAATATGGGTTATTGAGAAGGGCGCATCGTTGTTATTGATGACGGTCGGTCTCCAATGCGAGAAGCCCCTGCCGCTACCCTCTCCGACTCATGGGAAGAAGCAGAGGTAGCTCCTGTAGTTCTACCTCCTCAGTCTGCACCAGTCACACCCATGCCAGAGAGCCAAACCGCACCAGAAGTTCTCTGTGTTTCAACACCTGTATCATCTTCACTTGATGGCTGTCGTGACTCTCATTCTCATTCTCATCGTGATTCCAAATCTGATTCCATCAGTCAAATGAGCATGCGTGCTCCTGACCCCATAGTAATGCCTGTCATGGTTGAACACCCGCGGCTTAGGACAGACCCCTCTGTTACCAGTCAATCTTCTCGTTTGCATTCACAGCCCCAACCTTGGCCCATGTCAGATCGTTCTTCAGCTCTGTCACCCTCAATCAAACCAATATCTGTAATAAACTCTGCACCTAGTGTTCAGCACTCAGATTTCCAAGTCCCACCGGACAGCTACATACCAACCCTGGACAAGGACCAGCGCATTCTTCTCCCTCCCCCACATGAACTGATTTGCAATATGTCTTCACCAACACCGTCACAACCTGTCGCTGGCCCATCCTCAGATTCTGTCAGAATGTTCGACTATCCTCGCCATGCCTCTCCAGAGTCACAAGCATCAACAAAGATGTCTATGTCTCAATCCTCCACCATATCAGCGCTCGAGATTATCGGTCTGCCTAATATGACGAACCGCAACAAACATCGAGAGCGCAACGGTCTGAGTATCATTCATGAAGATGCCAGCATCACAGCCGATTATGAAACCGTGACTGGATCTGATGCAGGACACCATCACCATTGCAGCGAAAGATGCAATGAAAGAGACACAGACAGTGACGCTACCAAGCACTCGCGGAGAGACCTATCAAAGCAAAGGCTTGCTGACAAGCTGAGATGGTCTAACCCAGCTGAGCCTGAGGAATGGTGTCGATATGGCACAGAAAAAGTTTGCTTTCATACTACATGGAATGCAGTTTGAGTTGACGAGGGACACAGACTCGCATGCAAAGTTCTAATGGTCCCCCCCGTCCTCGCCCAATGATCTTGGTATGTGCTGGTCTCTCGAAATCCATCACTGCCCTTATGTGTTATTCGTCCAGAACCAATCTCGTGGAGGATTGTGTCAGTCCCTGCAGAAACTGAAGAATGGGTTAAAATTTCTGTGTGTGGACGTCAATACTGTTTGTCCTAGATATGGCTGAGACTGTATAGAAATGCTCTAAGTGAACACGCAACCGCACCACTGCACCTTGGTGAACTTCAGTATGATATCTCTAAATCAAATATATAACTACCATAGTGCAATCAGATATATTGATTCCTCTTGTGACTCACCCCTTACTCATCCCTGTCTTGTACTTCATCTGGTAACTGGGATGCTAGCCATCTCAATCCACCGGCCAACACAATCAAGACGACAAAAACTGCATTTCCTCCTAGAAGGTTGAGCTCCTTTGATACAGCAAAGAGCGAAGTCGCCAAAGTGGGACCAACAACACGAGCTACCGACGCAGAGGTTTGGCCGAGGCCATTTATGGCACCAAGGACATTGTTTGTGGGAGCAGAGGCTGTGATAAGCATGAAAATAGCCCCTGCAATTAAGTGAGTTTCTTGTAATGACAGACAGTTTCATTACAACACACAACTCGACAGACATTGTCACACCTTCCGCAGCATGCGTCAGGGTTTTCCTCTACAAGTCGTTCAGTCATCCAAATGCCTTCCATGGAGGTGAGCCCAAGCACCACACCTATTTCTCTGCTCCCGGTTTCAGCGACACCCGTCTCATCATGGCCGCAACACCCTGTTCAACAACACAATCTTCCGAGTCATCCCCATGTTTCATCCCTCAATTCCCTCCCCTCACTCATACCGCAGTGGGAGCCTTTCGGTATAGGTAGACCTGGATACCATGGGCCTGATTTCAACATGCACCTGCACGATCCCGCACCTCGTGGATCTTCCATAGCAACAAATAGGCCAGCACATCCCCACCCCATACCAAATTCACTTATGCAAGATTACTGCCAACACCAAATTCCGCCAACACAACCTCATCCTGGTGGTTCCCACTCTCCACGGCCTTATTCTTCACCTGAATGGGGAACCCAATGCTCGCTTCTGCCTGTACCGTCCCGTGCATGTTTTTCTTGTTCATAGCTGCTTTTGCATTGCTAATCGTTGTGTATTGACAAGGTCCTCCCATGCACACACAGTCTTTGAACCAGTTGTCATCAATGTTGGCAGGCAATGGTCAAGAGCACGGGCTCAATGATTGAGGGCGAGGATGAGGGCGTGGAAACAACATTGTGGGGCATGCACAAGGAAGTATGCAAGGAAACAGCGGGAGACCCTCACGCAGAGTAAGTTTTCTCTTGAACGTCATTCTGTCATGCACTGCTAATCTGGTTGCTCTCCAGGCTGGCCAAGGCTACTAGATAATGTTTAGCCTCTCCTGTCACAATTGCGCGGAAGTTTGTGACATCAGGATCAGTCTCGGCGTGCCAGTCTCAAATTGCCAGGTAGGTGATGTCTTTTCGCTCTTATGTCACCCACCTACAGTATGCACAGGGCCAGGAGTGAGTTCATCACTTTCTGATGCTGCTTGTGAGATTACCACTTGCTATTATTTCTCCGAGGCGAGCTTATCATGGTATTCTAGCCAAATAACAACACCACTCTCATAAAGAAGATTGGATGCACCAACGCCAACGTGAGTGGAACTGTCCAAAAGCACGATCACATTCTGTCACCCCTGAGCTGCATCACCAACACTCATTGGAGTTCCACTGACGCCACTCTCAAGAAATTCCTTGGATGTCACCTTCTCATGTTAAATCCCTTTCGAACGGAGCAACTTCACCTCTCAGCGGCAGGGCATCGCTTCGGAGTTTTGATGATGATTGGGTGCGGTAGACAATTTCTTTTCCCGTGAGTACTTCTGGCTACTATACAAAGCACCCTGTCTTGAGGAGTTGTCATTTAGCATAATTTCTCAAATTTTTGCCCTATTTGCTTCAAAAATGCCTGCCCTTAGACTGACCGTTGCTGTCATGTGACTTACAACCGTTCTGTTGACCTCTAGCGTAGCAGGTATTTAAATTTGACACTGCCTGGTAACCAATAAACTTATTGTGTCTATCACTTCAAGGTCAATTTTCAGTCGGAGTCAGCTCAGCACACGAACTTGCCACTGCTGCTGGCTGACTCATTGTGCGGACTTGGCGGGCCCTTCCGAAAACTTGTTTGCGATTGCTTTACACACTGATATATTTGGGCAATGATTCTTTTTGGGATTTAGCCTGTGAAACCCTCAAACATGATGGTTACTTAAAGGCGGTCACTTTCTAAAGACTATCATAGTAAGTCTCAATTCACTCTCTCTCCCATCTCACTTCACCTCGCTGTTTCACTCCACCTCTCCCTTCTTTGACCTACTCTCTCACTCCGTCTTGTCCTTCCTTCACCTTGCCTTTCATTCTACCCCACGATGACTGGGACACCTGAGCCTAATGATGTCCATTCATCTGATGATGAGGCGAGCTTTGCAGAACTTCAACATAAAATGCCTCTAGATCCGTTGCAAGCTATACTGATGTCTTCCAAGGCAAGGGCTAAATGCCGTATCGCTGCCTTAGAAGAAGAACTTGAGACTATGCGGCAAGAGAGAGGAGGCAAGCAGAGGTGAGTATATTGTGTTGTTTTTCATACTTACACCATTGGTAATTTATTTTTGAAGAAAGACAACCTTCTATGTTTCACAAGGCCGGGCAATTCGTCGACTGGCTGTCCTCTACCACAGCTTGGAAGACTTAATTGCAGAGAACAATCGCAGGTACGAGTTTCACTCATCCTTGGAAACAACTTCAGAGTAAGTCATTAAGTTTTTCATATGATCAATCTAGTAATTCTACAACACAGGCAAGATCATTTGCAGCGTGGCTATATTGAAGTCGCGTGGGTGCTGCCGTGGTTACATGAGAAACTTGGGGAACTCGACCATGAAGATGCTGAAGATATGTTGAGAAAAGCTAGCAAATTTTTTAATAAACTCACGCGCTGTAGAGAATCATGCCTCTCATGGCGTGATATGGCAGTTTTCACCTAGGAGTATACAGCATGAACTTGCAGCATCATTCTGTGTGCTATCTGCAGTGATTCCTATATGACGCGCGCCATTCCCGTGCTTCGCGATGTATACGCGCGCGCGCATTCCCGCGCTTGCGTGCCCTATAGCACCAGCCATCCAGAAGCATCCATCCACTGTCCACCAAGCTCCCTAGTGCGTATATTTCTATTTCTCTCATTGCATATTATTCCATCTTTATTTTTATCATGGACTCTCACATATATATATTTTTACATACCTACTTGGTAGCGCTTCGGCTCCGCATGACCGCGCTTAGGCGCGCTATATAAGCGCCAGCAGTACATACTATTACTTAACTTACTTTACCTCCCATTTACCTATTACTACTTACTTACTACTTAGGAGAACATAGTAGAAACCTATTCCTTTAGATCTCGCGCTCTCACATCTCTTGCATCATATTATCACTTAAGTCTAGTCTATCTATCATTTCCGCATACGCGCGCGCGCTTTCCCACGCTTCGCGCTAATACGCGCGCGTGTTCCCGCGCCTTGCGCGCACCTGCGCTTTCTCGCGCTTCGCTGAAGCACGTACCTCTAGATCTTCGCAGCGCTCGCTTCCCCTAGGGTCGAACGCACTTGTCTCCTCAAGTAACGCAGACTAGGCAACGTGCAACCTCACAACTTTTTATAGATACTGTCAGGAGCATCATTTGTTCCACTCAGTATTGTTGTTTCTACAGCGCCGCATGCTAATCATTATATAGCTCAAGAAGGGAGCAGATGCGGCTCATGGTGATGATACCTCCACTCTCAAAGAGCTTGTCGCCGCTTGGATAAACCAAGAGTTTCATCCGTCCCCGATAATCAAGCCAAATGACAAGTATTCACGTGTATTTGTGAGTGACATCTGTGGGAAGCTGCTCTGCCCTGCTGAGTGGGACTGGGATCAGAACAGGTGTGTATCGACCCTTGTTGACTATCAAAGACACTGATGCTGGTCCAGTGTCAAAGCCGGCATTCACGACAGGACATCAGAGTACATTGTATCGGAAAACTCGTGGCCTCTGTTTGTATACGAAAACTATCAAGTCAACAGTAATGACCTTGAAGAAGGTTTTCTCAAGTCAAGGCTTCTAGTTATGGTTAGTGGCTTTGTCACGGTAGTTGTAATCTTATTTTTGCTCATCGCACTCCAGGCTTTCAAAGCTGTTGTAGGGATTCATTTCTGGCTGGGCTTGTAGAGACTGTTTTTACCTTACCTTATGTTGGCACTTTTGTAGCTTACATAATCAAGCAATCTTTTCACCAGTTACCAGTATGGGTCTGAGGGCTGACCAAGTTTCTATGATATTTCCTCTCCTCTGAGCCTTAAGCCTAGTCCAGAAACCCTTTAGGGTCGAATAGCAGCTAGGTTCTGCAAGACCCAACATTGTTCAGACTCACCATCTGAATTGTTGTACCTTCACCGTCTTCACCTCACCTTCGTCTGCGAGTCAAGCCGAAGGTGATGGTGATGGTGCTGATATTCTTGAGAATAACAGGTGCACCCGGCGTAGATCCGACCAGACGAAGGTCAAAACATGCATTGCGTCAATTATCAATATGAAGAAGGTTACCCCTCGTGCTATCGCATATATCGTTTGTCAGGTGAGAAAATACAATTATTTTGATTTTGACGTCCAACATCTAACCGTTGAATGGAAGGTTCATTTCGCTCTCTCGAGTATAACATCTTGGTGCACAGTGGACGGAGACTTTGATTATGAGGCATTTTGGTGCAATATCCTGGACTTTTTCGAAGACGTTCCTGGCCCTGTCACGAGACATAAGATCAACAAGCTTCTTGAATGGTGGACTAGGTAACGACTTTATCACTTCTTCAGGAGATTGAATAACTGGTATTGCTGTCTAGGATAATTTTTGGAACGAGTCATCGTGAGGACCTGATGCCAGAGCTTGTGTCTCACATGTCCGTGAACGCATTAGCTGAACAGAGGAAGAAACTCGAGGATGCTGCTTTTGACTCGGACTGACAAACCATTCATTGACCCCTCCTCGCTGCTATTCTTTGTCTTTGCTGCCATTCTTTGTCTGCTCCCCCTCACTCTTTACCCGTCAACTCATTATAGTCACTAATTCGAGAGTTTTACATTTATGTTCATAATACCGAGTAGTTGCGAATATCACGAGTCACACCATTGAATCGCTGTTTGACATTGGAAGTCATTTGAGGGACAATTTTCAGTTGGATTTAGTACTATTGAATATACCAATGGCTTCAGAATTTATCGCAGCGTCCAATACTTCAAACTGACAAGGAAGTTCTCTATGTATGCAACTGTAGTGATGACTGTGCCAACGGAAATATGCTACGTGGCTTCGCAATCAGTCCTCAAAAGGTGTCTAACTCCAATGCCCTTTGTCGAGAGGGTCATTCGCAGTCTTTGACTGGAAAGTGTCGATTGGCAGTCCGAAATCCTGTACCATTCAACATGTTGACTACTACTAGATTTATTGTAATGTACAATACCACCCAAGCAACAAGGAATTCTTTATGCATGCAACTGTAGCGATGACTGAGCCAACGGAAGTATGGTACATAGCTTCGCAATCCATTTTCAAAAGCTACCTAACTTCAATGCCCTTCGTCGAGAAGGTCATCAGCAATCTCTGACTGGGAAGTGTCGATTGGCAGTCCGAAATCTTGTACCATTCAACATGTTGACTACTACTAGATTTATTTTAATGTACAATACCACCCAAGCGGCAAGGAAGTTCTCGCATTATACGACCGTAGTATATATTGCGCCCAAAAAAATATGTTGCATGCCTGCGAATCAAACTGCCGAAAGATATCTAAATGTGATGTCATCAACCGAGGAGGTCAACAACATCCTAGAACCGAATAAGTTTAGTTGACGTATCCAGAGAAGAGGGATGCACCGGGTGAGTAAATCAAGTGCAGGAGATGTTGGAATATGAAAATACAGTTCAGTAGATAGCGGAATTGGTGAGCGAAATTTCCCCAGTGGGATCACCTGTTTTCATGACAGACATTTGTAATGTGTTTGAAATGTTACTTGCATGAACAACGAGCCAGTGTAAGTGCCAAATCAGACAAAAGACATACTTTGTGATATCCTTTGACCTCTGTGATCCTACTATTCAGTGTCAAGGTCATGGAACATTATGACCTCGTCAATTCATTGAATGTGTCTGACCCATTTAGAACAGGTACCGATGGCACAGTGCTGGGCTTTGGGTTTAACATCTGCGCTGTTTCTGAAACGGGCTGGTTTTGAGTCTTCTGCACAAAATGTGTATCACTGTCAAGCATGTATGAAGTAATTATCAGTGTCAGTGTTGCGCATTACCTTGATTTTCAGAACAAAGTGGCAAAGTATCTAAAATATCTGTAGCTGTGTCATTTTTGCGATACACTCGCCATTTCTCATGCATATAACCAGACCTATGTATATTCAAAACAGGTATTTTTGTCAGCCAATATCCTATCGGCTCACATTGTTTTTGATGTGCTAACGCCCATGACAGTTTTTCCACCTACCAAAGGAACCTCTGCTTTTGAAGTGTGCAGATTGCTTTTTTCATGGAGCACCATCGACTTGCGTAATGCTTAGTAGAGGACCGAGCAACTCCACAATAAACTCCTCGATACAGCAATCTAGTATTATCCTGTCAGTTACAGCAGTCTAGACCACAGGTTTACGAACACTAGTGCACCCCGTGACTGTGAATATTGGACTCCCACAAGCAACATTATGTAGAACGTTGGAGGGCATATATTGACACTACTGTTACAAGTAGTGAAGCAAACACATCGTTGACGAAATTCTTTGATGATGGAACTTATCTAAAGTCGTCGCAACACTCTGTGTGAAGTGTGTAATGGATATCTCAATCAGCCTGGGCAAGTGTCTGCCGCATAGGAAACAAATGACCTATGCTTCTTATTTTACTGATTGTGGCACAACACAGGGTTCTCGCACTAATGATAGACAGCGACTTTCGCACTCGTGATGGTACTGATGGCCCTCCATTTCACTGAGTTGGCCCGGGTGCAATCTCCCATTCGCAGGATAATCTAAACAGAAGACGGTACATAGAGCACAGGATAACGTGGTTGGCTGCCATTCAAACACATTGTGCCTATGTAAGGTCAAATATGTCTATGTAATACACACTGCCACATTTATGGATATTGTTGTGATGGTTATCAATATATAGTCTACCATGACATTTTAATAAGTTCATTGGTTCAGTGATGATAACGTGCCAGCGAAAAGAAAATCTCCAACATACCAATGTATTCAAAGCTTCAATAACATTGTGCAGCTCAGCGCGAGAATCCTGTATACTATGTTTTGACTCTGTCCGGGAGCGATTGGGAGGTAGAAAACAGGAGGTGTGCCAGTGTGCATTGAAATCTTGAAGTCCAGGCATGGTACTAGAGTATATGTCAGAAAGTCTCAGTCTTCGACTTTTCGCCCCGATTCACCCCATTCGTGTTCGTGCCGAATTCTTTCCCACAATTAGTAATAGACAAAGTTCGTGACATTTGTGACTACTATGACACTTTGTTTCAGCCTAGTACCTCCCGACAACCCGACACATACAACTTCGAACCTTTGGGTATAAAGTACCCGTCATAAACGTCATCACTTCATGTAGACTGCGAAATGGAAATTTGTGTGATGATCTGTGATTGCACGTTGTTCGTGTGTGGATATTGTTTGCATGCATTCATTTGCAAGTGATTGCATTTCTGCGTCTTTGTATATTGATATTATCGAACTCCCCATATCTCTGTCGTAGCATCACTTGTTTTTGCCTTCATTGCAAGAGATCGTAAGTGCGATTACATGGTATTCCTACCTGCTTACAGTTACTGCTACTACTAGTACTATGAATAAAAACCCTGCTCAGGCTGAGGCTGGGCCTTCTTCCTCTCTGCCTGTCAGTATACGTCACAGACAAGCTCAGCAGGCTAATGTGAGGCGAGCTGCTCAAGAAGCCAAAGAAGAAGCTCATCGAAAGAGAAAGGCTCGCCATCTTGATCGAGAAAAGTCTGCCACAGAAACAGATTCAGTACTCACGAAGCTGTCGCACGCCACATGAGCCAGCCAAGATCCGGCTGCAGTACCTGGATTGAAGAAGTTATCCGCCTGAAAACAATTATTCAGCCCTCAGAAGATGATCCCATCAATGTCGACCAGGAATCCTTCGTTCATGACGATTACTACTTGGCTTCTTATGATGACACTAACATTCAGGCCGCTGGGGGACTATTTGAAGAAGAACATGTCCCAGCCTCCCATAACGAATTTCTCGATCTCTTCCCGGGCTCAGCAGAAGTGTATGAAGGAGGATATACATTTCTTGGTCTATTTGATGCAGATGAAAATAGTGCGCATCGTGTGCATAATCCCTACTACCCGTTTAGTGGACGGAAAGAGTGGGAGGTCGCATCTTGGCTACTGCATTCAGGCCTGAGCATGGGTAAAATTGATTCATTTTTATCACTAGAGATGGTTAGTAGTGCTCTGGCTCATCTCCCTCTGTGATAGTCTGACTTGATAGGCTTAGATCAAGGCCCTCTCCTTGTCATTCCACTCTGCTAAGGAGTTACGAGGTCGGGCAGAGCAGCTGCCAAGTGGACCGCGATGGTTGTCTAGGGTGATTGAAACAGCACATCCCACGAAATCTCCTGTGGTTCTGTACTGGCGGGATCCTCTAGAATGCATCGCCAGCATTATTAACGACCCTTCTTTTCACAATCAATTCAATTTCATGCCTCAAAAGGTGTACTCTACCGCAGAGCGAACCTGTCGCATCTACTCAGACACTGCGGGCATTTTCTCATTTTCCTCCACCAAACATCCAAAAAACATTGAATTAGAAGATAGAAATTTCCTTGCATTGCGTGTATCAAAACATTGAAAAAAAATAATGAATGTATTGAAGATTTTCTGTATGCAAGACATAATCTAAAAATGAGTCATTTTCCCTCAAGAAACAGTCTATATTTTTCATTCATCATTCCTCAAATAACAATTTACAATCATGTCAATTTTTTGGCCTCTGTTTTTCCAATGTTCTGTGTATCAAAAATCTCAATTACTTCATCCTGTTCACCATATGTTTGATCCAAGAACATTGAAAAATGATATAACAAATAATAATAAATATTTTGACAATGTTTTGTTAAGGAAAAACAAAGAAACTTTCAAACTTTCATTTGTATATTTGATAAGAGGAAATTTATGAAACATGCCCCATGTTTTGTAAGAATAAATACATAATGTTTGCAGTATATTCCTCCTGCACAACACTTGAAGAACATTTATTATATTCAGAGAAAAAAAATGAAACATGATTGCAGGATACTCTGCCTCACAACATGCACAAATTATACATTGTTTTCTGCACACAATAGATGGAAAATACAGCATTATCCTTGAAGGAACATGATGAATTTTTGCATCATGTCCCACACACAGAAAATCATTGAAACATAAATTATCATTTTTTCAATGTTTTGACAGACAAAATGAAGGTACACTGGTCCAAGTAGTGCTGCTAAGAACCAAGAACCATTTGGCAGGGAAATGAGAACAAAATGGTGTGACAATATAGAAGGGTTTTTTGAGAAGATTTTTAGTAATGGTGAAGCGATGAGTATAGAGGCAAGGTTGAGAGTGGGGGCGCAAGTGCCAAACCTGGGTCCAGTTCTACCAGAGTTGACAAACCCTGGATTGAACCTTTGCAAACTGTTCAGAGTGGTCATGTTTGGTTTTTTTGGGGTTCAAATGTGAACCATCCATGTCACAAGCCAACAACTGGACTGCTTGGTGCAGCACTGAGGCAGTCATGTACTAAATACACCAACTGCAGTTTCACAGGCAGAAAGAAATGCAAATTAATGCCAAGTGATGTCAAGGAGCAAAAGCAGCTGGTTGTGCATAAGAAAGGCTGACTTAAAGGATTCATCAATTTTCTGTGTCCCATGGGCCATGACATGTGTAAGGATTGTCTATCCTCTACACACAGCCCGCACCTCAAAAAGGAAATCTGAGAACTGTCATTCACAAAGTCCACGTGACTCACGGATGCGAGAAAGCTCTACACTTCGCATCCGAGTTATGTGGATACATTCTCTCACTTCTCCATTCTCTCTTTTTCTGTTATCTTACCTTGTGCTCAAACTTCACGATACCCTTGTTTCACCAAAGTATTTTCACCTCGCCATATGCTCCCCATTCTTATTTCAGCCTAGTAAAGTACTCGAAAATGTATTTATACTGCTCATGTACACTCATAACAACAGCAGAATCATATGTTGGTTCCCTGCTCAAAGCAAACTTTGCTCTACAGAAAGTCTTAGCCTCTCGAAATGTTTCGTCTTCACACTTGCACCCCTACTCTCAACCTTGCCTCTATACTCATCGCTTCACCATTACTAAAAATCTTCTCAAAAAACCCTTCTATATTGTCACACCATTTTGTTCTCATTTCCCTGCCAAATGGTTCTTGGTTCTTAGCAGCACTACTTGGACCAGTGTACCTTCATTTTGTCTGTCAAAACATTGAAAAAATGATAATTTATGTTTCAATGATTTTCTGTGTGTGGGACATGATGCAAAAATTCATCATGTTCCTTCAAGGATAATGCTGTATTTTCCATCTATTGTGTGCAGAAAACAATGTATAATTTGTGCATGTTGTGAGGCAGAGTATCCTGCAATCATGTTTCATTTTTTTTCTCTGAATATAATAAATGTTCTTCAAGTGTTGTGCAGGAGGAATATACTGCAAACATTATGTATTTATTCTTACAAAACATGGGGCATGTTTCATAAATTTCCTCTTATCAAATATACAAATGAAAGTTTGAAAGTTTCTTTGTTTTTCCTTAACAAAACATTGTCAAAATATTTATTATTATTTGTTATATCATTTTTCAATGTTCTTGGATCAAACATATGGTGAACAGGATGAAGTAATTGAGATTTTTGATACACAGAACATTGGAAAAACAGAGGCCAAAAAATTGACATGATTGTAAATTGTTATTTGAGGAATGATGAATGAAAAATATAGACTGTTTCTTGAGGGAAAATGACTCATTTTTAGATTATGTCTTGCATACAGAAAATCTTCAATACATTCATTATTTTTTTTCAATGTTTTGATACACGCAATGCAAGGAAATTTCTATCTTCTAATTCAATGTTTTTTGGATGTTTGGTGGAGGAAAATGAGAAAATGCCCGCAGTGAGAATGGATGACAGGTGACGACGCATGGAATATGCAGGTATGTTGAATAATTTGTTTTGACTTCCACTCGCTCATCTTATTGCAGTCAGCGCTGCCTGATGGTGCTACTCTCCTCGGAATTATGTTGTCCTCTGATAAGACCACCATTTCAGCTGTGACTGGCGATAGAGTCGCGCACCCTCTCATAATCAGTCTAGCAAACATATCTATGAATACTCGCGCCAAAATCTCATCCGACTCCTTCCTCCTTACTGCTCTACTGCCAGTGCCTAAATTCATTCACAAGAAGAAACGCATGCGGGGTGTACTGGAGGACCGCCTCGTACACCAGTGCTTAGACATCATTCTTGAACCACTCAAGAGGGCCGCTTGTGTTGGAGTCATGATGTCGGATCCCGTGGGTAATAGCCGGCACTGCTATACAGGACTTGTGAGTTATATTGCTGACACCCCAGAAGCAATGATGTTATGTGCTGTTGGGGGTAAGACATCGCCATTGACCATGGCAATGTTCAAGCAGTTAGGGGACGCTTTTCGACATGAACCCTGAACAAAGTCCACTACTCTCGCACAACTCAAAGTTGTCTATACGCGGGCTGACCCCCTTGATCTTGAAGCATTTTTCCATGAAGTGCAGAAATTTCGATTGAATGGAGTTGCTGAGCCCTTTTGGCACGATTGGATTCTGGCCGAACCATCCCATTTCTTCACTCCCGAACTCCTGCACCACATACACTGGGAGTTTTGGGATCACAATGCAAAATGGCTCATCAATGCTCTTGGGGAATCTGAGATTGATTTTCGCTTTTCTGTCCTACCTCGCATCACTGGGTTCCAACATTTCCATGGAGGTATGTATTTCGAAGTTAAAACAAGTCACTGGCTGGTGTCAACGCGACATCCAATGCTATATCATTGCAGTCTGTGCTGATGCTGCACCTCAAGGCGTCCTTACTGCCGTACGTGCTCTCATGGACTTCCGGTATCTTGTGCAAGCTAGCCGAATCGATGATGACGGCCTTTAGCGTATTTCTGCTGCACTAACCGAATTTCATGCCCACAAAGACACCATCATCACTGCTGGTCTTCGTCGTGGGGAGGGTAAAAAGGTCATCACCAACTGGCATATCCCAAACTCGAATTCATGCAGAGCATTGTCCCGAGCATCTGCAATACTTGTGTCCCCATGCAATGGACTGTGGATGCAACAGAACATGCTCATATCACTGTCATTAAAGTTCCAGCTCGGTCAAGCAACAGTAATAATTATGACCCGCAAATCTGCTGTCATCTTGATCGTGAGGAGAAGTGCCGTCGCTTTGACCTTGCCACAAGTCTACTTGATCACGACAAGCTACGATCAACAACTGTGGTTGAATTTGATGAGGGATATGCGGGTGACGAGGGTGATGAGGGTGATTCTGATGAAGATATACCAGCGGACCTCTTATCCACTGTTACTTTCCCTGGTTGCTCACGGCCAATCATGAATTATTTCATGGTTGCAAACAGTTTATGCCACAAGGATGTTGGCACCGTCCCTTGACCATTATGCACATTCACTGCTGGATAAACAGCATTCCATCTTGCTTACAGTCCATCAATCAGAAGTATCGCTGTTGATGAGGCAGCTGTAAAATTTGGTCTTCCAGACTTACGACCTGCCATCGCTGATTTTTTCCACCGCCATGGTATTCATGGGCAACATTATGTCCATCCAGTAGGTGTGGGGCGAAGGGCTGGACCTGACGTACAACTTCCATTTGACAACTTGCAAGTGTGGTTCAAACTGCGCTTGCAAGACACAGACTTTCACGATTCCAGCACTATCCAACCTGCGCAAATGCTCAATTGCACACCCCCTTGTGATGCATGGCCCTGGGGTCGCTTTGATACTGTTCTCATTAACACCTGTGCTGGTTTCTCGTGGCCTGCCAGTGGGTTTCAAGGTATGCTCACACGTAATCCATGAGTGTTTTTTCGACTTTTTCCCCCTTAGGTTATAGTGTGGTTCAAATCAGGCTCATTATGAGGCTTCTCACAGGGAATGCATTGCAAGACTGCTTCCTCACTTACGTTCATCGCTTTGATTCTGTCACACTGTTGGGATCTGATGGTCGTGACCTGACTACACAGCTACATGTCTTCAAGAGGGCTAAGAGGTCGAATGGAACTCGCCTTGGCGATGTAATCTTACTGTCCCAGGTCAAGTCTCCTATAAACCTTATACCTCGGTTTGGTAGCATTGCAGATAACCGTCTCACTACTTCTAACTGCATGGAACACTGCTCAGAGTTTTGGCTCAACAAATACTGGAACAAACAATCCTTTTTCTCCTTATCTACATAATTCTTTATCAAATTGGGACAAGTTTTCGTAAAATTAGTCTTTGTTAGTTATGTCCGTCATCATGGTCATAGTAGCACGAACTGTCGCACCCACGATAAAACTGTGATCATTTCCTGTCGCGCCCCGTTTGCATAACATTACAACTATGAATAAGCTCACCAGCAAAGAGCTCGATCATCTGGTCACTCATGAAGATCCAAAAGGAATCGGGCTCGGTCATTATCTGCCACTGATCCTCAAATCATTCGCTCAGCTAGATAATGTTCCCCTTGCAAGTGAGCTGAAGATTAAGTTGGGAAAGCTGCAGTGTAGCAGAGCAGCGAAGGTTCACTTTCAAAACTTCGGAGATGATGACATGGTGCCCTTGTATGATGTCAATTCGAAATGTTGGAATTGGGACTTCCCTTCATCAGGGCTCACTCCAGCAGTACGTGTGCAGATTTTCACAGATAGTAAGATACTGATCAAACCACGTTGGTAGGGAGCCCAGGAGACAAATGAGTTTTCCTTTGGTCTTTATCTCAATGTCGTCTCAGAGGCCTTATCAATCATGAATCCCAACCTCAAACTTACTCAAGCATTGCGCGTTTGATACTCAGAATTTGCAACCCATGCAGTTCCAACTCAAGATATCCAATGGAATCCTGACCTAGTCCTATCCGACCATGTCATCCAGCTGGGCTGGAACAATTTCATGGTATGCGCTGAACTCATGTTCAGCGCTTACCAGCCTGCTGCACATGTTGGCAGTTCCATGGACACCAAAGCTTACCTGTTGTTTCGTGGACAGCCATGGCGCCGTTTTGTACTGCTATTGTCCTTTTGCAATCGATACCATGACCTTCGCGTCCATCTGTACGACCGTTCTGGGGGGCTGGTGTCCCCTGTGTTCAACATCGACAAAAATCCAGATATGTATTTGAAAGTACTCGCTGGGATCATGTTTGGAGGTCCCCAGTGTCTTGGTTATGATAGTACCGTCGTATTTTATGTTACCCCTTCCAAACCTGCCAGCACTTCCCGTCACACTGCCGCGCCACGCCACGCCATCATGCATGATGTTTCCAAAGACACCAGCTCACTTGCACCTGGTATCGCCGAAGAAAGTCACCCATCCAGTAGCTCAAATGATTCTTTCGCTGCCAGTGGAGGCACCGATTCTTCCAGAGAAGTGACGCATTATGATTTTCCCACCACCATGTCACATGAGGGCACTCTGGTGGAATTTTTTGAAGATGGCCCATCTCCTCTTTACACCACCTTTGCCTCTACTACAGGAGTACTTCAGCCAGAAATTGTTCCGGAGCCAAATGAGGACATCCCAACAGCGCTCTTCCCCCCCCCCTCCCTCCTCCAACAAGGACCCCATCAGTAAAATTCGCATCAAGGAGAAGTTCTACAATATACTCCACATCTTGTTCTACAGTCGAGGTCTTACAGGCAGGGGAACTGTCTGTTATTTGGTCGAGTTGGGGGGTGAGGAATTTATTATCAAAGACCATTGGGTGCAAGAACAGGATGACACGGACATCCTGAATGAGGTGGAAATGCTGAAGTGGATGCAAGGTGTCCCTGGCATCCCTCACCTTGAAGACTATTGGATTGTTGAGAGGGAGAAGGGAGTTCCAGATTCAACAGGTGACTTTCGCTTTAAGCATATCCAGAGCACATCTCACGCATTTCACGCCCACATTCGCCTTGTTCTCAAACCATGTGCCTGTCCATTACATCAGTTCCAAACTAAGAAAGAGCTGCTGACAGCCTTACGCGATATCATTTGCGGTAAGTATTCCTTGAATGCTCGAGCCAATCCCTTACTGATTGTTTCCCCCCTCCAACACAGTCATACGTGCAGCATCCGATCATGGTGTTGTGCATCGTGATTGCAGCCTTCACAATGCAATCATCTAAGATGTCCCTGGAGGCATACAGGGTTGTTTGATCAATTGGGAGTTCGCAATCAATGTCTCTGATACTGAATGCAACAATAATACCCATAGCATCCTTACCAGGGGTGGTATGGGCACAGTTCCATTCATGTCTCGCAAACTCCTTAGTCAATTGGTCCGAGCTGATCTCGCCCATTTGACTCAGCCCATTGTCAGTCCAACCTTCTCCAATCCGCCACAGTCTCGTAAGACATCATCTATTGGTGCTCCTCCCCAACCGCTTGCAACAATAGTGCAAAACCACTCTGATGATCTTGAATCTGTTCTATGGGTATTCCTCTGGGTTCTCCTCAATTATTTGGGCCCTCTCAGGATGGAGAGAAATCAAGCTGGGTTGATGACAGAAGGCTGGAATGACCCAAACACCACGCTGTGTGTCGGGTCCAAGTATGTCCTTTACCACTCAGGGAAGGCAACATTCCTTCGTCAAATCAACCCCTACTTCGCAGACCTTACCCAGCTCGCAGATGATTGGTTGGAACTGATGAGGCACAATGATGAGCATCCGGTAGCCTTCAATGCAGTGCTAGAGCTCCTGGACTCTTTTCTGTCCAATTACAAGACAGAGGAGTTCTCTCCAGAGCGGTATTTCACGTCACAAGAGTTGAAGATTCCTCTGGGGGGAAATACTGACACCGTGAGGCACAAGAGAGTTATCCCAGAGTCTGAGGGGACTTATTTTACACAGAAGCGGGCGAAGGCTGTTGTTTAATACAATTCCCTCAAACTACTATTGTGATTCTAATCTCACATTACTCTAGCATGTCTTTCTTGGAATGTAGAACAGAGTACTAGTAAATGTACTTCTACTACAAACTTTTCTATAACTCATTTTTGCATCTTCAAGTTGTGCCAATGTGTTCACTGAGTTCAACTCTTTTTTTCTTCTATCACGTGACATGAGCAGTATACTCACGGATTCTCACATTCAACTGACATTCATGATCGCGTGCTACTACTAGTATGCATCAGGTTTGCTCTGTTCTTTGGCGAAGGACGGATCTACGGCAAAGGAGATGTCAGATGAGATCGGATGGCACGACTGCTATTACATGTGCACCTGGAGGTGTGTTACTCAATTTGTCTACCTTGCACTGATTTGTTACTTTTATATTGACTCAGCAGGGCAACTGTACGGTATCGGATGGCAGCACCTGCTGCGATATTACATTGGATACTTCAAAGTCCGCCATAGAATCTGGACATGAAGACTTAAATATGAGTAAGTTTGGATGGTAAATTCATGTGTTCTAGCTTTTGTCTTATTCCCTGCAACGATGCCCAGCCCTAGGAAGTCCAAGACTAGTAAGAGAAAGGCTCAAGATCCTGACACTGGCCTTCCAACTGGATGATCCAAGAAAACTCCACGGGGCGCTTTGGATGAACTTGGTGGCCCTCGACGTTCTGAACGTTCGAACACAGGGACGGGCGGATGAAACTCACAGCTAGAAAAACTTGACACAGTCCTTGAACAACCATCACATAAACGGCCCTCAAAAGGCTCAACGACCTTTGGTGCTGATGTTTCAAAGAACCCACAAGCTCCTGATTCTCGCAAAGGTAAAGGCCACAAGTCTAGAAAGGTAAGTCGTCACAATCAGACACTAATTGATGCTTAATTCCAGTTCTTAGGTCGCTGCTCCCCCACCATATGCTCCGGCAGATCTGAATCTTGTTGATGCATCTCAAGTAAGTCGTGTCCACCTTTATATTCATTTATTTTATCTACTAAGGCATCCAACATGCAACAGGATGTGCCCCAAACGACAATTGTACTGCCGGGTACCGAGCCTAACTTGCAGGCCCTGAATAACCCCTACGTGGCTGCCATGATTAGTACTGCAACTGCACGCCCCCCACTAACAGCTCAGTGCCATTGCTTATCCCACACGCACCCTTAGAGCTGAACTCGCAGGTCCTGCATAACCCTTACATGGCTGCCATGAATGGTACTGCAGCTGCACGCCCCCCTACTAACAGCTCAGTGCCATCACTTATCCCGAGTGCACCCTTAGAGCCAAGGTTTTCAAATGCCATCAAGTATTATCAGCCTGCCACTTCCCCCCAAATGCCAGAGCATGTTATAGACCCAGCACTGCGGATTCAACCATCATCACTTGGTGTAGGTGGGCACTTGCAGCCAAGTGTTCCGAATGTCACCCAGCACAATATTCAGCCTATGTTTCAAGGCACTGCACTCCCAAGGCTCCCGAAGGGTCCTACAGGCCCAGCGCTACAGCCTCAGAACTGACCCCCTCCAATAAGCGATGGATCAGATCTTGACGAAAGTGATGAAAATGATGAGAGTTCAACGGACGAAGATACCAAAGAAGGGGTCAAAGATGCTGGTGAAGATGATATTGTTGGATGGGGAGTGGTTCGTGGACGCCACACAACTCATCCAGGTTGCGCCCTTCACATTTTATGTATGTCACTGATTCTTATTATATGTACAGGATTTTCGCAGGAACAACCACCTCAGCCACTTTCACATCCACGTCCTTTGACACCCGACTTTGACTTTCAGTACTCACACGACGAAGATGAAGATGGTGCAGTGGCTAGTCTCACCTTGGTGCAGTTGCAGCCACATGTTCAGAACTTACGTCAAGACAATGCAGCTGCTAATCTCATGCTAACACAACCGAAGATAGATGATGTACTCAAGAAACACCAGAAAAAGAATGGCCAGCATCGTCTCCCTGACCCTGAGGCTCTTGAAATACTATGCCGGAAAACTGAAACTGATGTTCAACAAGAAGCTCCGACATCACGATCTGAAGCAAAGCCCACTCAACTCGGGTGGTACGGAACTGGCTGGAAAGGCTTCCTGGAGGACGCGAAGGCAGAATGTCGTGCAGTCCATGCATTGGAAAACCCATTTCCATCTCTGACCCATGACTTAACACGTTCGATAACGGAAGTCCTCTTATCGGTCAAGCTTGCATGGGAGCAAGCTGGGAAGCAGGTAGAAACCAGTAAGTCTTCACATGTTCCTGAGTTCTGTGGTCTCAATCAGCATAGGTGTGTGGCCTGCACAGAAATCCAACATGGCAAGGCTGGTAAGTATTTCTCTGTCATTACAAGCATGCTCACACCATATAATCACAGCTCTATGACGATCTCGCAACTTGGCAGTCCGAATTGAAGAAGGTCGTGATTTCCCTTGCCCTGAGCATATTGGGTCTTGTTCCCCCTGCTGAGGTACCTGCCCTGGAACGGCCAGCGTGGGTCTCACATGAAGCATCAAGGCAGCGCAAAGATTCTCTGTTCCTACGAGGTGGATTTGATGCCAATGTTTTTATTTTTATTTCCCTGTTTCACCCCTCACTGTGCTGATGTATGATTTGAACAGGGAAAGACTAATAACTTCGCAAGTCCTGCACTTCGAGAAGCCGTTGTGTTATTTTATTATACCGGACCTTACAGAATTGCTCAGTGAAGGCCAGAAATATTTCGCACACAGCTGCCTTTGTCATGCTTGGCTCTCGTCGCCACTGCAGTATTATTTACTCAAGTTAAATATCAAGGTTACTGACTCAATATTTGCAGTATGACTGTGGTCTCCTTGGCTTCGAAAAGAATGGTACCAGCAAGGTCTTTCCAAACTTCACTGCAAAGGAGTACAAAACCGAATACAAGGAGATGCTGGAGATGATGGGTGTCATTTTGGAGGATGCGTATCATGGCCCGAAACTGGTACAGCAGCTCTGGGAGTGGGTGGCATACGGCTGGTGAGTATTTTTATATCCATTTTCTATGACACTGATCGTATTTATCCAACGGCAGGTTGGAAAGCCTCAAGGTTGACTCTCGTGGCGGCTTGGAGATGAAGCACACTCACTTGAAGGTGGTACTTAATTAGTTTTGTCGTGTTTTTCTTGTCGTCACTCGGATACTATTACTACTGCATGTTGGCCAGCTGGGCCGTGTTTGTTTACAGTATCATTTCTGTCAGCACAATATGATCAGATTTATTTGGAACTCCTTGTGACAGTGTGAGTGTGTACTACTGCTACTCTATGGGACTGGGAAGCACTGGGGGAAGGTAATTTACAAACATTCAGCAACTGCCAGTGTCCGAGTTGTGGACATGCAGGACATTCTGTGATGTCTGTGAGCAATTGTACAGTACTGTCCAAATCACTTTTGGAAATCTGCTGTCTGTCACAAGGGGACCAGGCTGTAGGCCTGGCACGCTGTGTGGGCTTGTACAGCTCTGTACAGAGCGTGTGAGTTTACTGATGAAGGTGTAATGCATCTAACATATTCCACCGACTCATATATCTTGCTAATTCTGTCTTGCCCAATATTAATTTTTTGTAATACATGTGTAGTACTTGCTAATCACACGACGAATGTTTGTTCTCAACAAAAATAATATGATGTTTTGCTTGCATGTCATGAGATTGTGGCCTCATAATGTTACTTTGACATTTAGAACATTATTACAGTAAGAACTCAGGAAATACAATGTTAGCGCAGTCTTGTCCTTTGTTTGTTGTTCCAAACTTGAAACAGACAGAACACTTCCATGCCTCTTCAATGCAGTGTACAATCGACTTTGAGCAAAGAGATCCGATCCTTGACAACCATTAATGTAGTTACTTACGCGTGTCACTCAATTCACTGTCTTAGTCTGTCCATGACAAATGGTTTGGATCGTACTTAACACGGGGAATGCAGTGGCTTTCGAAGGTAAAGTTGTAAAGTTACACTTTGACGAATCGATGTTTTGTTCGAGGATGCGACGGACGAAAGAAGGACAGAATAAATTCTATAAACGAAAGTAAGTACTCAGTCTCAATAGTCGAAGACTGGGAGACTACTAGCTGACCTATAAACAAAAGTAAGTACTAGAGTAGTAGTCAGTATTGTAGTAAAGAGTCTAAATAAATAATATCATACCTCAGTCTCAATAGTCGAAGACTGAG